TTAGGAATGTTGTTGAAGCTAGGTGTGGTCCAACTTGAGGAGGTGTGTCACTGGGGCATGTCCCACAGCACTTACCTGTATCTCTTGTCCCACAACACTTACCTGTTTTTCTCTGCGTCCTGGTTGCCATGAGATGGGCAGCTGCCTCTTCCATAAGCTCCATAACTCAACAGAGCCAGCTTACCATCAGCTGAAAACTCTGAAATCCTGAGCCAAACTAAACCTTGCTTCCTTTAAACTGTTTCTCCCTGGTATTTGTTAGAGTATAATGAAGACTCTAACATGGTTGGTTATGGTATATCACCTAGCTACATGCCAAACACAGGCTGATTTCAAGTTGCTGTATACACACCAGCTTTTAGATTTGATGTCATGGCCATGAGCTACCTGGACCTATCTCTAATTCTTTCTGCATGCAGTAGCCTCAGTGGGTTTTATAAGACACAAACTAAGACAAATTGCTCTTTTTACAATAGCATAAAGAGTTTTCTGTTACAAGTAAGGTGAAATTCAGTTCATGGTCTGCATGATCCTACTCAGCCTGGCTCCTGCAGCCTCTCTTATCATCTCACTCTATCTCAGCTTCATCACTTGGACTTTTATTCATCAGCAAATATGCTAACTGTCCTCCAAACAGCAATACTGTGCACCAACTCTCCTGCACCTGGAACTTGCTTTCTTTCTTTTTTTCATAACCGTGTGTTTAATAAAAGTTTATCTTAATTCTCGTTTTCTCAGGGAAGAATTACTCAGTAAATCAGCTCTTTACAGCCATTTGAAGCTATTCACAATAACTTGTATTCTTTCTTTCAGAAGGTTTGTGAGAACTTTAATATTTTTTTGGTAAAATTTCTTTAATGTCCTATTTCTAATCTAAGAAATTCATGAGCATAGGTACCCTGACTGTGATATACCAATGTTATTCTTTTAAAAAATTTTTACAATTTATTTTAAATTTATGTGAATGAGTGGTTAGCCTTCATGTGTATAAATGCACCCATGCCATGCAATGCCCACATAGGCCAGGATAGGATTTGAGATCCCCTGGAACTGGAGTTAAGGATGGTTGCTAACCATCATATGGGTGCTGGTAACCAAACCCAAGTCCTCTGAAAGATCAACCAATGCTCTTAACTCCTGAGCAATCTCTCCAACCCCTACCCTTATAGTCCTGATGCCTTTGCAGTGTGTTTTACAGTGCCAGTAGCCCATGGCCATTTTCCAAAACATATTTATTAAATGACTACCTGCAATTATATCTGAAAGTACCCATTTTGATGTCAAAGCTTAAACTCCTGTTTTGGTAAAACAGAAGACAATTTCCTTCTTAGAAATTGCCTCTTGCTGGGCGTGGTGGCACATGCCTTTAATCCCAACACTTGGGAGGCAGAAGCAGGGGGATCTCTGTGAGTTGAAGGGAAGCCCTGGTCTATATCGTGAGTTCCAGGACAGCTGGGGCTACAGGGAGACCCTGTCTCAAAAAGACCAAAAAAAAAATTGCCTCTTATTTACCAGCAATTCCTCTCTCCTGCAGACTACTTTCCTGCCTACTACTCAGTGTCATCTACATCAGACCTGAAAATGAGCCTTCCTAACAACAATTTAAAAATCAGTACTTGACCTCTGCCTCCACAAAATCTGATGCTTGGTCAACAAGGGAAACTCTGAGTGAAAGTTCCCAAAAAAACATTCCACTGAACCTTCTGCAAGGCTCCTTAACTGTTTAGAACTTCAACATCTGTAGAAAGGCTAGAATGTTGCAAGTCCAGAACCTAATTACAATTTATCTTGGGCTATCTCTTGCTTCCTTAGTAACCCTTTTTTACCCAGTTCTGTGTCTGACCTTACATCCTTATAACTAAAAGGTAAACCTCCTAGAAGGTATTAACAGATGTGATGGTTGCTTTTTGTCAGTTTGACACAAACTAGAGACACATGGGAAGAGGGAACCTCAACTGAGGAATTTCCTCTATTGGAATTGGCCTTGGCCATGTCTGAGAGGCATTTTCTTAACTGCTGATTGAAATAGGAGGGTCCAGCCCACTCTGGGCAGTGTCATCACTAGGCAGGTGAGTAAGGGCTGTGTAAGAAAAGTAACTGTATTAGAGTTGTCTAAAGGAACAGACTGATAGGCTTTTAAGTGCAGATGACATCCTTTAAGCAAGTGTTCAGGGACAAAGTTCGAACAGAACAAAGTACAATTCCTTGTATGACCTTAAGAAACTAACCTCAATTAATGTGGTTGTTTACAGGATACAGTGCAGCTACTTACAGAACAATGTGGTTAAAGCACAGCCTCCTTATCTAACACAAAACACACTGCACACTGCACTTTAGAATTTGCATCAGCATAGTGTTTATCTGGCTTTGCTATCATAAGCACTCTTGGCTGGTTGTGATTTTGCACATTTGCCGAGTGTGCTTTCAGCAGAGTTGAAAGCAGGGCAGTGGTCTCAAACAGGGCTGCCATCAAGGCTGGGTCTTCCCAATTCAAATAATCTGATCAAGAAAATCCTTCACAGGAGTGCCCAGAGGCTGGTGTTTTAGTTGATGCCAAATCCAGTCACGGGGACAACCAAGGTTAGCCATTGCAATAACTGGGCAAGCCACATCTTTCCCAAAATACACTGGGATACATAAGAACTGAAGTCAAATATTAGATTGAAATTCTCCTTTGTGGGAGGGGAATACCAGTGATACATTGATACATAGTATATAAAACTTTTCATGGAAGAGGAAGGTCTGTCTACACCCATCCTCAAGATCACTGAATATGAGATGTTATGTGATGGGTTCTTAAAAATTCAAGAATTTTCAGATAAGAGACTGCTGGTCTCTATATGTAGCCCATGTGGCAATTCTACTCTAGTTATAAAAGGCCAGAAAGAATCCTACAGCTAGAGAAACTGAGGCAGGAAGACTGGGAGTTCAAGACCAGCCTGGGCTACATAGTTGACACTCCACCCACAACCCATCACCAAAAAAAAAATGATAAAAGAATGTTTATATGGGTTCATATAAAAATTGTGGAGATTGGACTAGGGGATGAAAGTTGATTGTTGTTTCAAGGATTTTCTTGCAGAAAAGATGACACAGGCCATAGATGACAATGAAGCAATCAGTATGTAAGTTTACTTTCTTATCTACGTAAATGCGCTTTCTTGTTCATGAGCTTCCTGTCATGGCCTTTGTTTGGGGTGTGATAGCATGTATGGCATCTCAGGGCTGGCCCATTTGTAAGTGGATTTCCTTCCCACTAACTCTCATGGCTGATTTATCTTCTCTCATCACATGTTTGCTTCATTCTCGTGCCTCTCTAAAAACATTTTCAGTCAAGAACAGGCCAAAGTGTTTGATCTTCAGCAGAATGGGGCTTTGTCGGAAACTCACGATAAGGACTTAATGCCAGTACTCTGAGCAAATGTTCTTGGTGGGAATTCTTATATGCCGCAATCCGAGACTCCGTCTAGCAGAACCCAGGAAGAACCACACAGACACCAAGGCAGGGTTCAAGCTTCTTTCTCTTTATTACGCACTTCAGCTCTTTATATAACGTTCTCAACAGCCCTCCCTCCAGCCAGGACCAATCAGGGCGCGGCGCGCACGCGCGCGCGCGCGCGCGCACACACACACACACACACACACACACACACACACGCGCGCGCACAGCAGGCAGGCAGAGTGGCAGCCCATTGGGCCACCCAGCAGGGTCATGCCGGATGACGTCTCTAATCAGGCAGGCAGCACATGATCGAGCTCATCACGCTTGGGGGCGTTAAAGTAAACAAGCAGGGATCATGAGACTTAGCAACCAGCCAAGGCACCTGAGGCAGGAAGCTTGGAGTCACGAGACTTGGCAGCCAGCCAAGAGTTGGAGTCACGAGGCTTGGCAGCCAGCCAAGGCGCCATTTTTGGCTGACTCGGCCGTGCTCGTTTCCGACACTTATATAACTTTGACACTGTGTCACTGGATAGTTAGGATTTTGAAAAATCTAGTAAAGAAGATAAGCTTATGAAACTACTGATCTATGTTGAGTTTTTACTATGCCATATAAATCTTATAATCCATTTGTCAATATGCACCAAATAACTCTCTTGGATTTTCATGGGAATATGCTAAGGCCCTAATTGAAAATAAATGGTATTATAATAACATTGCATTTCTATTCATAAATTTGAAATACACTTTCATTTAAATATTTTAATTCTTTCATTATATTACACAGTATTTCTTTCTAGATCATATACATATTTTGTTAGACTTCTTCCCACATGTCTAACTTGAGGATTACTAAAATAAATGGTATGCTTTAATTTCAAATTACATTTGTTCATTGCTGATATATAAAAAAGCTGTAACACTGACCTTGGTAAATTACTCACATATCCTGCTACTTTGCTATAAGTACTTACTACTCATATTTTTAATTGATCCTTGAAGATTTTTGACACAGTCATGGCTTTTGATAGAAGCTTTTTTCCTTTCTTTTCAACCTTATTTGTTCTTTTAATTTCTTTTCTCTTGTCTTGTTACATCGGGTAGCACCTTCAGCGTGATGCTGAATAAGAGTGGCAAAAGTACCCTTACCTACTTCTATTTCCAATAGAAAGTTCTTAGTTGTTGACCATCAGCTATGACGTGAGACGTACAGCTTTGGTATACCTCGCCTCGTTGAGGAATCTCCACTCTTGGTTGCCACGGTGAGATACTGTCAGCTGAGTGGTAGAGAAGCTGGGAATTCATGAAGGCGCTGAACGACTCAGTGATGGGTAAGAGCTCACTTTCTGCTTCACAGATGTTTCCTTCTTGATGTGTCTTCATGTGGTGGAAGCAGTAAAGAGCCAACTCTGCCTTTGTTGTTGTTGTTTTTAACAAATGCCACAGTTCCATTTGAGTGGAACCTAAATCACCTAAACCCAAAGGCCCAACTTCTTAATACTACTACTGTGAAGATAGTTTCAATATATGTATGAGCCAATAATATTCAGATCACAGCATCGAAGTTCTTAGCTTGAAGAGAGCTTTAATTATTAATGCAGGTAGATTCTTGTCAAATATTCCACTTCAACAGTAAAGACATACACAAACTGAAAGTCTAAAGTATGGAAAAAGATATTCCCACATATATAAACTGAAAGTGAACATAGATTCAAAAACAAAAAAATATTTGAAAGGAAAAATAGAAAATCACTATATAGTAATTAACAGATAACTCCTCGGAAACACACAGTGGCGAGTGGGTATGCACTTTTTGTCAGAACATCTAATTTTGTAAAAGCAAATTCCAGAAAGAACAGACATTTATTCCCATCTCCACAGAAAATCATAATAGAAAAATGGATACGCCAATAATTTCCACAGAAAAGCAGCTAGCCGTTAGCAGTCAGTTCATGCCTGTGTGAACCTCAGCAAACTGTATGGAAGGGACAGACAATATTGAGGCTAGCTCATTGCCGAATCTGTCCAATGTTTGTTCAACCCAGATGTTTTTTGTTGTAGAAATCATATTTTTCAAATAATTTATCTCTGTGCCCATTTCTTCAAATTTCTTCTCAAATCCTTCCTCAAGAAAATCCTTTTGGAGCTAAAAGCATATAAAAACAAAAGTGGGTAAGTAAATTTTAAAAACCTCCTTTCTTTTAAGATTTATATTTTTTCATTAAAAATTTTGTCAAAATCTCTTAATTTTACTCTGAAAAAAAAAAAATTCTCAAGTTACCAAAGGATAACAGCAACAATGGACCTGAAGGTGATGACACCCTGCAGAGGCAGCATACAAACTACACTGGCAATTCAGCACCACTAGGGTTTGGCTAAGCTAAAGAATCCTTTGTGTTCATGGCAAAAGAAATACAATTAGTCAGATTCCACAGGTTCTCATTCCCACTTGGCTAGCTTGGACACCTTATCAAGAGATAAAGGGAACTTAGCTACTGAGAAATCTACTCTCCTGTAAATTCCAAATGGACAATGAGCGGAATTCTTTGGACATCATGTGCTAACTTGAGCACCTGGAGAATCTGTAGCAAATTTAGAAGCTGTTACTTGTCTGACCTTTCAAGTTTGGAAGTTCTGATAGTTCAGTGTCAGCATGGATCCTCTGTGGGGGTCTGTGGGTGTTAAGAGGACTCCTCATAATCTGGGTCTTGGTAATGCAGACCAGTTGTTCATACTGACTATACATGGTTAGAATGTCTGTTTAGTAAGCTCTCCCAGTATCAGTTTAGATGCTCCTCAAATATGCAGGAGTCATAGAAAATGTGAAGTCTCCAGACTCTAAATATGGATAAGAATTCCAAGTTACTTTGCAGGGAAAGGGGTAAAAATAAAAATAAAAAAGATTCAGGGCTGTTAATGCACTGCTGTCAGTGCAGAGATTTGGTGCATTCTCCTTTGATGTGTCCGTAACCTTCTCAGTGCTGCCTGGGACCCCAGGACCATCAGGCACAACTGAGCCAACGAGACCCACCTGCAGCTTGTATGCCACCATCACGCTCATCTCTCTCACTAGCCGATCTCTCTCCCTCTCCAGCTTCCTTTTCAGTTGCTCTATGTTTTCCTTGAGACTCTTTTCTCGAACCTTTACCCAGTGCTGATGCTCTTGTTCACACTGTCTTAGGAGCTCCTGTTTGTTCTCTGCTGCCTCTGTCTTGGCCTGCTCCACTGTCCCCAGAGGGTTGAGAAAGAGAAGAAAGCAATGGGTGAAGACTCATCTCCTTCCTCAGCTCTGACACCAAACCCAATCTGAAAGGGACGACAGGAAATCATAGAACTCATGTAGGTTGACACTGTTGAGAATATTGTTCAAAGGGTGATGGGAAAGGCGCGGCCTGTGTAGCAGAAATACAAACCCAGCTCCACCTCATCTGTTTCAGGTTCAGCGGAGTGGGAATTCAACTGAAAAGGAGGAACCTCCTGTTCAAGGGAAGGTCTTTCTGTTAAGCCTGTCAAAAGACGTTGCAGAAACCTACCCACCCACCTCTAAGACATGTTCCATACCTGCCATTGCCTTCTCTTCGTCACTGAGAATGGTATCTGCCTGCAGAATGGTTTTCTCTTTTGCGATCTCTAATTTCAAGAACCTCTGAAAGAGTTCTCTTGCCTATGGATCCAAGAAGGGGTAAATACATAGATTTCAATTAGGAAGGCTAGTTCTGAAAAACTATGACATCTTTGCTTCATAATTAAATTCTCTAGGAGTAATCTCCATGAAAATCAACCTCCTCTGTGTTGCTGGCGATCTTCCATCCTTTCTTTGAGGGGTCACTTCCCGCCACCTGCTGTAGGTTCCAACTAGCCAGAATTATGTGCTTTGTGCAAACCACAATCTCTGATGCTTCCAGATATTTTTCTTCCCATGTAAAATGCTGCCTCTACCTCCTGGCTCCTCCTGAGTCAAGTTACCTAATCTTCCAGGTGTCCTGGTTCAGATGTGTAAAATGTTCACAATGAAGGTGTTATTTAGAAGACTAAATGGTCTAGGAAGAAAGCGTCTCACTAGATCCATGGGCAATATCAGTTTGACGTATATTAGTTGTGCCATTTTTATATTTATTATTACCACGATGTCTATTTCACAGGCTCTTAGCATGATCACACAAATGCAACTGTCTATTTAACTGGCCTCTCACTTTGCTCAGCCTTGAGAGCTCAGACTCTGATCCTTGTAAATCACCAGAACTTCACACAAGTCCGCATCTTCCTGAATTGAATGATATTTGCCTTTCCTGGATTTCCAAACTCTCTACACTGTCTCTGAAAGTGAAATTTCTACCCTTAAGAATAGAGGCATTAAAGACGAAGTGTCTCCTACCCTCATGCTCCATCACTCACAGAGGGGTAGGGGATATCCCTGTGGCTGACACCCTGCCATGGGCTTCCCCGTCTCTTCCTTACATCTGTTCCTTTGCTGCAGAGTTGCCAGTACTCTTGTTCAATCTTTTCCTTTGACTCCTTATAGAGCTTGTGTCCTCCAGGAACAGAGAAGTTTCCTTTCGAAATTCCTTTCTTTAGAGCCTTTGAAAGACGATCCAGCTGATTCCTACAGTAGGAATAACTTGGCCCTTCAGTCATTAGCAAGAATTCTACCTTCTTATCCATTGTGACGTCCTGCAAGGGAAATGCAGGCAGTGATGTCACTAAAAGGAAGGAACAAAGGAGACAAAATTCCAAAGAACCTGGTAGAAAGAACAATCAAAGTGGATGTTGCCTGAGAAAAACACTGGAGGGGAAGATGGGAAATGAAGCAGAAGCTATAAAAAGGTTCCTGTCAACATTAAAAACCCTCACAGATGATGTCTGAAGCTTTTCCAACCTTCCTGAGCCTCAGGACCCTCGCCTGTGAAACAGTGGAACGGCATCCCATGACCTCCGTGCCTTCTCACAGCCTTGTGCCTTGTAATTCAATGTCAATGGTACAATGATACAGCAAGAAACGATAGATAATAACGTCTTGGTATTGGACTGTAGTGAAAGAAATGTTGCTCCCTAAGCATGAGAGCATGTGCAAAGCAAACAAATTGTTCGGAACAACTTGTGGATGTTCTGTAATCCACAGAAATATTCATCTTACTTTATTAGAATTATTTAAAAAGACATCTATACTAATTTCATCAGACATAAGAGAGATTTCTGGATACATTGTACAAAGTTAGGGGTGGGGGACTTGTAATCCTTTGGAAATCTGTTCTTCATGAGAATCCAAATTGCCTTGTACATGAATGAGGAACCACTAGATCAATAAATGCCCTACAATGCATCCTTCAAAGGGAAGCATGACAGTTAATGCCTCAGACAAATTACCAGCATCCTCTTCTGGAACTCCTGCTTATCATCCTTGAAGGAGTGCTCCATGAAGACAGCAATGGCTTCCCTCTCACAGGCTGCATGCACGTCCAGCACCTCCTGGTACCTGTTTATGTCAGGGATCCATTTCTGGACAAAACACTCAGTGTAGTGTTTGGCTGCCTTCTCTACAGCCTCTGAGTTTTGAGATCGGGCCAGAGTTGTTACAGCATTCTCCAAACAAGGTATCATTCCACTGTTGATGGCATTCACATAGGCCTCCACCAGTGTCCCCATCCCTGAGTATGGCAGAAAACAGACATGAATATCACATGCCTACTCAACAAGAGATAAAGTTCTGAGAGGACTAGAGCCACACATACTGTCATGGAAATGAATGTTTATGGCCCTCCCAATGTTGAAATTCTTGAATTCAAATGGTAGGATTAGGGGATAGTGCCTTTGTGAGGTGATTAGGTCACAAGAGCACAGCTCTCATGATTAGAATTAATCCCCTTAGGGAGGAAACCAAAAAATAAAACAGAAAAACAAATGTTCCCATTCCACCAAGGAAGGACATAGCAAGAAGTCAGTAGTCTGTAGCCTAGAAGAGAGACTCAAAAAATCTCAACAGACTCAATAATGCTGATACTGTAGCTTAGACTTTCTGGCCCCTAAAACTCTTAGAGAGGTATTTCTGTTGTTTCTAAGCTACCTAGTATATGGCATTTTATAAGAGGTCAAAGGGCTAAGACAAACTCCTACCCTAATGTACTTCCCATTTCACTTGATGTCCAGCTGTGGTCTTGACTCCACACATGGTCCTGGGCACCAGGCCTTGACGGTGGACCTTTCCCGTGCCCAGACACCTAGAGGTTTTCCATCATTTTCTGATTGCTCTTCTACAGCCCCAGTGTACCTTCACTTGTGCCCCTGAAATGTAAATAACCTAACTGAAGTCCTAGGGATAAAATCAGTGTGGGAAGTTTTTTTTTTTTTTTTTTTTTTTTGAGACAAGGTCTCCCTCTAGCCCCAGCTGGCCTAGAATTGAATATGTAGACCAGGCTGGCCTTGAGCTCACAAAATCAGATTTTCTCTGCCTCCCAAGTTTTGGTATTAACAGCATACACCAGTATGCCTGACTGTACCTACATTTTTTACATTTATAATTTATCTTATTTTTTATCCTATAGCATTAATTTTAATAACTAATATAATCAGAATTCATCAAGAAAAATTATTACATGTTAGCACAAATTTTTAAAAACTAAGTACACAAGGAGACAGATAAAGCCAGATCATCTGGATAATATTCATTCCTAAATACAAAGCTTTAAATGAATTTTCAGGGACTCAGAAGTTAATACTTATTTAGGATTGATTTTAACTTCTAAATTCTCTTCTTGAGAAAAATAATACAATATAAATTGAATATGAAAAAGTACTTTGTGTTTCAGGCTTCCCCCCAAGAAGGCAATGTATTCTATTTGTTTTAGTCTATTTTGTTTTGCTCTAACAAAATACTTGAGGCCGTCCATTTTATAAAGTAATGATTCATGATATTGGAGGCTAACAGTCCAAATAGCATGACATCAGTCACCTTTTGAAAGTCACTTGCTTATACCACAACATATCAAAATAAAAGAAATAGGACCAGGGGCTTGTAAAAGAAGCCAACCTATGAGGTGGCCACACTTTATATCAACCCATTCTTGTTAGAACTCATTGCATGAAACCAGCCTTAATTCCTTCCAATGATGGCTCCCCATGAACTAGTTACTTTCTACTAGGTCCTACCGTCTAATGTCCCCACCACCCAACACACTCACACTAAAGGCTAAGTAAGTCTCAGGAAATCAACTTGTGAGGTACAAATGACATTCAAGCCACAGAATTCATTTTATACCCAGTTAATGCTTTTCATCCAAGTGGGGACCCTTTGTATATGTGGAGACAGCCAAGGCAATTGTGATTTCTCAGAGAGGATCTTATAAACCCCATGAT